TAATGTTTTGTTTTTAAGTGCATGCAAGCATGATTCCGCCTTTAATTGTTAATTGCATGCTTATTGATGTTGCTTAAATGAACATGTTTTCACAAAATATTCCTTCAAGTGGACACTATGCCGCTTGGGGCGAGGATCTGGTGTTGGCAGATAGGCGGGGAGAAATAATACCTAGCTACGGGCTGAGGGACACGACCCAGGCATTGGGTCGGGAGTTGATAATCTCTGGCTACGAGCATAGAGACCACGTTGCTGGCATAGGACCGGGTGATATATTTATTCAGTGATCTTACTAGTAGTACATCGCGCGACGAGACGATCTGTGAGACGTTTGAAATTTGTTTTCCATGATATGTCTTTTGAGATATTTTTGGCATGCTAGGGTTTTCAGTAAAACTATCACTTATTATGCTAGTAGTTTTCTTTATATAAACTGTGGGGGTTAGTATCTTGATAACTGTTTTATTATTATCGTATGAACTTGGTCCACTTATCTTTGTTTTGCGCCCCCATTCAGGTCTTAGAAACGAGGACTACGATACGACGTACGAGGCATTCCCTTACCAATAGCAATCTATCACTCATTTATGTGATATCCTGTAATGATCTTTCCTTTTGTGATCTTGTTTTAGAACGTGTTATGTGCATTCTAGACATTTCCTTTAAACTTTGTTTATTACCTTTAGATTCTAATGATTATTCATAAATATTTCCTCCTAATGATTACTCTTGTAGTCAATAAATATCTTTCGTCACCCTCAGGTGTCGGCCAGAACGTGCCTATCCAGGTATTCGGGGAATATCGGGGTCGGGACGTGTCAGATTGGTATTAGAGCATGGGGTTAGGGTTTCTTTCCACCAATTTGGTAAATTTCAGCCTTTCTAAATCTTGTTGTCTTTGTCAGAATCATGGCTAATCCTGGTGGGAATGTGCCTCGACAACCTTGTGTAATGGAGGCAATCCAGCAGTTTACCTCTGCATTAATGAATGCTCTTTCAGGTCATAGGCCAAATCAGACGTATTTAGAAATTGCTAGAAGTCATGGAGTTACTGAGTTGAAATCTGTGGGGAATTGTGAGGAGGCTGTGTAGTGGTTAGAGAAAATGGAGGATACTTTAAAGGCTATGAAGTGTCCACTAAATGAGTGGACAAACACTGCAGGTTTCTTCATTCAGGGTGATGCTAGGAGTTGGTGGAAATCAACGAAGGAATCCCGTCCACCTGGCTCTTGGATGACATATGCTGCCTTCAAGAAACGTTTTATTACTTAATTTCTAAGCCCTAGCTACAAATTAAGGAAGAGGCATGAGTATTTAGAGTTCTGACAGGGTGACCTCAACATCAGAATTTGACAGTACCTTCAGGCGTTTGGCTAGGCATCATGATGGGACTTATGATAATCCACAAACACAGATGGATCAGGCGATAATTGCACTGAACCAAGAGTACTGTACGCTGGTAGCTACTCAGAGACCTAGAACTTATGAAGAAGTAATCGAGATAAGTCTAAGTATAGAATAGTCTAAGTGGGATACGGAGATACAGGATCAACCTCAGACTTGGATCCATCCCCCCGAGGCATAATAGACAGCGGAATCAGAATAAGAGGAGTCAGAATTTCCGGTCATGGAGTACCAGAGAATCAGTGGGCCCCTTCAGTTCTATAGGTCTCAGACATTCTTTTTCCCTTAAACGACCAGGTCGAGGTTTAGGGTCATCAAGTGAAAGCTTAGGCAACGAGTCGGCGAGACGATCTTTCGGTCATTTCACTCCGAGTTATCCGGTCTGTAATCAATGTGGGTTACGTCATCGAGGGAGTTGTGGGATAACTGATGTAGATTGTCACAGGTGCGGTGGCATTGGGCATTTTGTTCGTGATTGTCATTTAGCACCACCTGGTGATTTTACCTCTGTCTCAAGCTATAATGGATATTAGCCAGTTCAGAATTTTGGCGCCTGATAGTGCTATGATGGTAGTGGCAGTAGTAGTCGGAGTTATGGTAGCAGTACTAATCAGAACTACAGGGGTAACAGAGGTCTGCAGTTTGGTGGCAGAGGTAGCCAGAGTTTTAGAGGAAATGACAACTGAAGTGCTTAGTTTTCGACTCAGCAGCAGGCCGGAACATCTTCTGGTAACAGTAATCAGAGGAACAGAGCAAGACGTGGTTCCAGAGGTCGTGGTGGTTGGAACAATAATGCGGGGTATCAGGTTCATGGACGTATGAACGCCATGACTCAGCAGGAGGCTGATCATGATCCTCGAGTTATCATCGGTACGTTTCCTGTCTATAATACTTGGGCTAGAGTTTTAATTGATCCAAGTGCTACATAGTATTTTCTTTCTTCATCTTTTGCTCGGGTTATACCTTCTCAACCTCAGCCACTAGGTTTTGATATGCTGATTCACATGCCAAGTGGTGAATTGTTTTATGCTCAATGGCAATATCAGAATTGTCCAGTTATTGTTGAAGGGGAAAACTTAAAGATGGATTTAATTCCTTTCAAACTAGCGGAGTTTGATGCCATTCTGGGAATGGATTGGTTATCTAAGCACCGAGCGAATGTCGCATGTTGGGAGAAAATTATGACGTTCAATCGGCCAGGACTTCCATCAGTTACATTTATGGGTGAGCGACGTGTCCTCCCCAATAGTATTATTTCTGCCATTCAAGCAACTAGGTTGTTGAATAAGGGTTGTGTGGGGTTTTTAGCCCACGTAGTTGTGAAGGATGAACCTTCTTTACATCCAGAAGAGGTGCCAGTTGTAAGGAACTTCATCGATGTGTTTCCTGATGGTTTATCAGGGTTGCCACCTGCAAGGGAAATTGAGTTTACTATCGATTTACTCCTAGGTACAAATCCTATTTCCTTGGCACCTTATCGAATGGCACCAGTGGAGTTAAGAGAATTGAAGATCCAACTCCAGGAATTGGTAGACAAAGGTTACATCCAGCCGAGTACATCCCCGTGGGGAGCTCCTGTTCTTTTTGTTAGAAAGAAGGATGGATCAATGAGACTCTGTATCGATTATAGGCAACTGAATCAGGTGACGGTAAAAAATCGTTACCCTTTGCCTTGGATTGATAATTTGTTTGATCAATTGAAAGGTGCTCAGGTATTTTCCAAAATCGATCTCCGATCGGGTTACCATCAATTGAGGATTCGCGAGATGATGTTCCAAAAACTGCTTTCCATACGTGGTATGGGCATTATGAATTTCGTGTCATGCCTTTTGGATTGACAAATGCACCTACAACATTTATGGATTTGATGAACAGAGTCTTTAGACCGTATCTAGATCGGTTTGTGATTGTGTTCATTGATGACATTCTAGTTTATTCTAGAAGTGTGAATGAGCACAAGAAGCATTTGAGACTAGTGCTAGAACAACTGAGGGACAACCAGCTTTATGCCAAGTTCTGTAAGTGCCAGTTTTGGTTAACTCAGGTTGGTTTTCTTGGGCACATAGTTTTTGCTGAAGGAATTAGTGTGGATCCCTGAAAGGTGTCAGCAAGGTCTAATTGGGAACAACCGAAGAATATCACCAAAGTGAGAAGTTTTCTAGGTTTGGCAGGGTATTATCAAAGATTTATTCAGATTTTTTCTGCAATTGTAAAGGTGTCCAGTTTGTGTGGGATGAAAATTGTGAACAAAGTTTTCAGGAGCTTAAGTGACGCCTCACTCAGGCCCCTATTCTCGCTTTTCCAGATGACAATGGTGAATTTGATGTGTATACTGATGCTTCTCTATCAGGTTTTAGGTGTGTACTAATGTAGCATGGAAAAGTTATCGCCTACACTTCCAGACAAACCCATGAAAGAAATTATCCCACTCATGATTTGGAGTTAGGAGCAGTGATTTTCGTTTTGAAAATTTGAAGGCACTACTTATATGGGGAGAAAGTTATATTTTTATGGATCATAAGAGTCTTAAGTATGTGTTCACCAAGAAGGAGCTGAATTTGAGACAAAGAAGGTGGATGGAGCTTATCAGTGATTATGATTGTTTGATCGAGTACCATCCTGGGCATGCTAATGCCGTGGCAGATGCTCTTAGTCGAAAACATCACTAGCATCTTGCATCACTTCAAGTTGTACATGTTCCATTACTATTTTCTCTTCGGGAAACTGATGTTAATTTGGAACTAGGTGAGCACGGAGCTTGGCTAGCACATTTTCAAGTTAGACCTATCTTTGTAGACATGGTCAGAGAAGCTCAAGAACTTGATCCGAAATGCGCTGAATTAAAGGAACAAGTGTTGAAGGGGGATAATGAGAAATTCGTCATCCGTAGGGACGGAGCTTTATTGAAAGGGAACCATTTATTTGTGCCTAAAATAATGAAGCTGTTAAAAAGGAAATTCTTGATGAGGCTCATACTTCAGCTTATGCTATGCATCCGGGAAGTACTAAATTGTATAGCACCATTTATCCTTTCTATTACTGGGAAATGATGAAACGGGACGTAGCAGAGTATGTGAGTAGATGTTTAATTTGTTAACAGGTTAAAGTAGACAGACAAAGACCTGGGGGACTGATGCATAATCTTCCAATACCAGTTTGGAAGTGGGAGGATATCACTATGGACCTTGTGTACGGACTGCCTAGAACACCTTCAAGGTATGATGGTATATGGGTAATTGTCGATGGGCTTACCAAGACCGCTCATTTCTTACCAGTTCGACAGACCTACTCGTTGGAGAAATTGGCGAAATTATTCGTCGATAATATTATTCGTCTACATGGTGTACCTGTCTCCATTGTGTCAGACAGATCCTAGATTTACTTCCAGGTTTTGGAAAGCCTTTAATGCCGTTATGGGTACTTAATTACTGTTCAGCACTGCTTATCATCCACAAACTGATGGTCAGTCTGAGTGGATGATTCAGACTTTAGAGGACATGTTGAGAGTGTCGGTGTTATAGTGGAAAGGTAGCTAGGATAACTATTTGTTGTTGGTGGAGTTTGTTTACAATAATAGTTTTCACTCGAGTATTGGTATGGCGCCTTTTGAAGCACTATACGGGAAGGCGTGTAGGACGCCATTATGTTGGACAGAGGTAGGAGAAAGGCCGTTGGTGGGACCAGAGATTGTGGATACCACCAACGCTAATATCCAACTAATTAAGGCGAATTTGAAAGTAGCACAAGACCGACAGAAAAGCATTGCAGACAAACACTCAAAGGATCGTGAGTTTACAGTGGGTGACTTTGTATTCTTGAAGTTGTCTCCCTGGAAATGTGTTGTTCGTTTTGGTAAGCGAGGAAAGCTGAGTCCTCGATACGTCGGTCCCTATCAGATTATTGAGAGAATTTGTGCAATTGCTTATAAGTTGGAGCTACCACTGGAGTTGTCACTGATCCATAACATTTTCCATGTTTCCATGCTTCAAAAATATGTACCAGATCCCTCTCATATCATCCAGATAGAGCCATTGGAAGTAAATCCAAATGCTAGCTATGTAGAAGAACCAGTGGCTATCCTTAGTAGACAGGATAAGGTGTTGCGGAACAAAGTTATTCCTTTGGTAAAGGTACTGTGGAGGAACCATGCAGTCGAATAAGCTACTTGGGAAATAGAGGAATTAATGCGGAACCAATATCCTTTTCTTTTAGTGTAAATTTGTAATTTCGAGGACGAAATTTCTGTAAGGGGGTAAATTGTTACACCCACCCCCACATTTTAAGTATATTTCTATTTCCTCCCTGAAACATATTTAAATCTATCAATTTAATCCCTTATCTCATTTAAATCCTAGCCATTGATCTATATTCCCTATTTCTCCTAAATTGCCAAATGGCAGGTTCTCAGCTCTCTTCTCTTCCCTCTCTTCCCGAGCACTTCCTCTCGAACCTTTCTCTCTCTCACGGGAACTCTCACTCTCTCTAGAGCTCTGAGAGCTCTTGTTTCCTTCCTCTTCGAAAACTAATCAAACCCAACAAATTAACCACGTATCTATAATCTTTGGGGCTTGAGAAGCATAGCTATAACCCTGCATGCATTAGTAGAACACCTTTGTGTGTTATGCTATTGAAGCCGAGAACTTCAAATCTCTAAAACTCTCGAACTCAGGCGAGGCTCATTACTCTATTCTGTTTTGTTGAGTTATTCTCAGTTCAAATGGAAGGTTCTAATTTGTGCATGCCCTATATTTTTGTTTTCCAGAACCCGGTGAGAAAACCCGACGAGTTCCGTGAATCAACCCAGCCATTCTCGACCACAGTCGAGACTCACAGTGGTATATTCCCGTTCCCATCATTTCAGCTATCTTCCCTCTTCATTTTGGTACTTGGTTTGGGTGTTGGATTGTGAGTTTGCCATCAACCGGAGCTGTAGCAGCTCCGGTCTTCCCTGACACCCTACAGGCCACAAGGCCTTCTCAAAACACCCACGGGCCTTAGCCCGTACTTGGACCAGCCCATTTTCTTTCTTGGTTAATTGGCCTACCGCCCATGCCATGCATGGGCTCAACATGTGTGTGTTGGGCCGTGCGTATGTGAGTGTGTGTGTGTGTGTGTGTGTGTGTGTCCGTGTATGTGTATGTGTGTGTACGTGTGTGTACGTGTGTTGTGCATGTGTGTGTTTGTTGTGCCTCTGTGTGTGTACGCGTGTGTTGTGCACATGTGTGAGTGTGTGTGTGTGTGTGTGTGTGTGTGTGTGTGTGTGTGTAGGTATGTGCATGTGTGCTGTGCATGCATGTGTGTGTGTGTGCTGGCGTGTGTATGTGTGTGTTGTGTGGGTTTGGGCTCAAGCCCAAACCACCACCTTTTTTATTCCTAAACCTATCTAAAACCAAAACCCAATAGGTCCTAACCTTATTTAACCTAAACCTAAACCCTAGTCCGGATCCAAACCCAAGACCCATTTTCCATTCCTTGAAATTCTATAGTTGGGTAGTTTGATAAATTGTACATTTTTGTGCTTAGGTGAAGTTGCTAGTGGGGATTTCCTTAATCCTTTTCTGCATAACTTAGCTGCTTTAATCTTTTTCCGTACAACTCTGCTGCTACGGAGTATCTGTGAGTGGACCCCTTCTAAAATTTGCATAATTTTATAGTTTATTTGCATAAATGAAATGCATGCCTTACGAGTTTATGAACTAATTTTATGTTAAGCATGTTTATGGAATATGTTGTTTATCGTCTTGTTTTTTATGAGGAATTAATTGTTGACCTATATTGAGCTATATTTTAAAATATCGTATTTTCTATAAAAACCTTGAACTGGTAAACTATTTGATGGATGACGATAGGATCCTAGAACGTGTTTTAGAAACCCTTTTTTATAGTATAGACGATGTATGACTTTATACTATGAAGTGGTTATTTATGAGAGGCGTAACTATTTGTACGTACCTAGTGGACACTATGCCGCTTGGGGCGAGGATCTGGTGTTGGCAGATAGGCGGGGAGAAATAATCCCTAGCTACGGGCTGAGGGACACGACCCAGGCATTGGGTCGGGAGTTGATAATCTCTGGCTACGAGCATAGAGACCACGTTGCTGGCATAGGACCGGGTGATATATTTATTCAGTGATCTTACTAGTAGTACATCGCGCGACGAGACGATCTGAGACGTTTGAAATTTTGTTTTCCATGATATGTCTTTTGAGATATTTTTGGCATGCTAGGGTTTTTAGTAAAACTATGCTAGTAGTTTTCTTTATATAAACTGTGAGGGTTAGTATCTTGATAACTGTTTTATTATTATCGTATATATGAACTTGGTCCACTCACCTTTGTTTTGCGCCCCCATTTAGGTCTTAGAAACGAGGACTACGACATGACGTATGAGGCATTCCCCTGCGAGTAGCAATCTATCACTCACTTGTGTGATATCTTGTAATGATATTTCCTTTTGTGATCTTCTTTTAGAACGTGTTCTGTGCACTCTAGACATTTAAACTTTGTTTATTACCTTTAGATTCTAATGATTATTCATGAATATTTCCTCCTAATCATTACTCTTGTAGTCAATAAATGACTTTCGTCATCCTCAGGTGTCGGCCAGCACGTGCCTATCCGGGTATTCGGGGAATATAGAGATTGGGACGTGTCAATATGTGGAGTCTACCATATGTTAGAGAGTGTATGAAAAAGTGTATCAGTTTTATATGTACAAATAACATTTATTTAATACATTAATATTATTCTTGGGTAAATAATGATTTTCTTAAAATTATACTAAATCCTACTTTTTTTTTGCTCAAGCTCAATCATACTTGTATACCTTCGTTTATTAGAATAACATTTAGCCTAACTAGAAATAAGGTATTTCTACTTTAGGTGTTTGCCTAGAGTATATCCTTAATAAAATCCTTGATTCATTAATTCTTTGCTTCTTTAACAAACTAGCAACACTTCTGGACTCAGAGTTCTCTTAAATAATATTTCAAATTTGAAAATTCCTCTAGATTCTGTTTATTTATAAATTACTAACCTTTTTTTTTTCGTGACCATGAGTATAACGACGAGCAACGCTCATATATATTGTCCGCCTCAACAGACCTAAAATACTCACGATTAGATTATAGACAATTTTTCTTAAAAGTAATTTTGTTTAGGGTTAAAATAGTAGTAAGATTTTCATTTTAAACCTGTGGTTTCATGAGCATTTTGTATGGGTGAAAAGTTAATTAAGTTAAATATTTGGTTTGATGAGCATTTTTAACGATGAACTTTAATCAAGTGGTATTGAATTATTGGGGAGCGAAAGTTGAGAGACAGGTTAAATGCAAAATCTAAGCTAAATATTTGGGTGCATAACCATTTCAATTTTAGTTTTTAGTTTTTATTTTCTGTATTTGTATATGGTGAAGTATATAAAAAAACGAAGGGACAAAGAAGAGGGAGTGATTATATATGAAGGAAAATGATGAAACAAAGAAGAATTAAAAAAAAAATCTTAAAAGTGAAAATAATGGCTTTTTTTTTAATTTTAGATTTCATTTAGGGTTACTTCGTTCAATATCAACAATACCCTAAATCAAACACAAATAGGTTTTCCAAACCTAAGGCTAGTACTAAATTTTCCAATATGAAAATTATGAATCTGATCAAATGAAACGACATCTCACTGTCTGTGCATTTAAAAAAAAAAAGAAGACGATATTAATAATTATCTGAGCTCTCTCTCTCTCTCTTTCTCTCTCTCTCAGTAAAAGACGGGTGAAGCATGGAAGAACGTCTGCATCATCTATATATCTTATGAATAGTGGCATCTCTCTCTCTCTACCTCGTGTTGCTTTAGTCATGACAGCTCGAATACAGTACTGATAAGCTGGTTGTAAAATTATAAACAGCCAAAGATATTGATGTGTACCTATGGTCCTCCGGGTGGATTCCCAGATGCATGGAATATCACATTCAGTGTTATAAAAATCTTCGTCTAGTGCCGCCTAGGCCCCGCCTAGGCGCTAAGTGGCTGGCCACCACCCCGATTAATGCCTAGGCGTTTGAAAATTAAGAAATAACGCCTAGACTTGCTGAGGCACCCCCCTAGGCATCTGCCTAGGTTGCGACTTAGACAAAAAATTGATAACTTTCATTTTGCATTTTATTTGTTTCAATAAATTGTAAGAGACTTGTTGTAGACTTAAATGAACACACAATATATGCTTGCTTACGAGTCGCCTAGGCGCTAGACTCCAACCCGCCGCCCAACTGGCGCTCAGCGTCTTTTAAAACCTTGATCACATTGGTTAATTTTTTTGTGGTCCTGCCACCGAGAGAGAGAGAGAGAGAGAGAGAGAGAGAGAGAGAGAGAGAGAGAGAGAGAGAGAGAGAGAGAGAGGGAGAGAGGGAGAGAGAGAGAGACTATGCTTGGTAATCCAACAAACGCATATTTAACTGTTTTCTTAAAAGATTAAAATATGTTCAACCTGGACGAATCACAGGAGTAGTATTTGCTTCTTAGACAGTTAGGGAAAATCAATTTAAACACGTAGTTATAGGTAGTAAACAAAAAATGAGGTTCTAAAGAGGTTTCCTAGCTACAGGGTCAGGAGACTTCATCAACCTCAATATTTTCAAGTAATTGCATCATGCATACATACATACATATCTACATACATATATAGAGAGGGAGAGAAGCCTGCAGGTACTTCTCACGGGAGGGGGTATTTTTTGTATACCAGTTTGTTTTAGTACAAGCCATTAGACTTTTAAGTTCCCTTTCCTGCAAAAGCCTGGTCTAGCTTTGGTTGCTTGTTGGCATCCAGCTTTAATCCAAAGTGAATGTGGGGAAAATGTGCCCACTGCAACACAAACGACCATTTTCTCAGTTGATATATATAGGTTTTAGTCTGACTAGCACATTCACATTGTATCATAAATGTATTCTCTCTAATTACCCTTAATACTGCACATAATTCCATACTGCACATCGTTTAAGAAAAATGCACATAATTCATATTCCAGACTCTATTAAAAGAGTGTTATACTTTGTACAATGAGGATGCCTGCAATTTGTGCTCATGTTTATAAATCAAATTATTTGGTGACCTTTATACTACTGCTGTCTTGCTTCGATATCTTATTAATTAAAGGGAGAAAAAGTGAAATTAATTAGTATAATGGTATATAATGTAGCTGCATATGTCTGAAAGATTATAAGATTTTGGAACTTAATTATAACATATATCTGCATATTGATGGTCATTCAATCCTACTTCAATATTGACAAATGAATGTATGAGCCTAAGCCACTGGGGTTAGTCTAGTGGTGAGGGTGGGTTGGAGTAAGCTAGGTCACGGGTTCGAAACCTTCCAATGTAACCAAAAAAGTATGTATGATAAGCTAAAAGAACATATCAATAGTAATTGTAGAAGCAAGTCTAAGTAACCTAAACCCTAACACATATATAATCAAGTTGAAGGTGATGCTCAGAACGCCATTCATGCGGTGTGGCAAGGACTTTAACTTCTATATCCTGGTTGAGGACAATGAGTAGGCTAAAGCTGTGCTTAAATTTTTTTTGATTTAGAGACCTTTCCTTTTGTCCTAGAGAAGATAATAATGAATAGCTTATTACATTGCTAGAGCTGCACTTTCTTTAGATCATCCTTTATTTGAAGTTGAGCCACCAAGCTCTCTACATTTATTAAGTCTGAGTTGAATGTACTTTTATCTTCGAGTTAATGAGTAATTTCTATATGAAAAAAGACCCAAAAACAGACTGAAACTTTTACAAAATGTCTCAAAGCAATTTTAAGGCGAGCTACCGGCCACTTAATGTAATGGATATTTACTTCTCCAATATGGGACACTTGTGTTAATAAACAATTGCTAAAATCTTGTCCTTTGGATGTAC